CCGTGGTGTCTTGAGGGAGGAAAACGCTCTGGATGAGACAAAAAATGGTGACATTGCAAAAGACTCAAAACAGCCAAAACAATCTTGAAAAAGAACAAAATTGGAAGACTCATACTTCCTGATTTTAAAGCTTACTACAAATCTATAATAATCAGAACAGTGTGGTACTGGCATGAGGAAAGACATACAGATCAATGGAATAGAATTGAGAGCCCAGAAATAAACCCATGTACTTATGGTCAACTGATTTTTGACAAGAGTCTCAAGACCACCCAATGGGTAAAGAATAAATAGTCTTTTCAACAAATGGTACCAGGACAGTTGGACATCTACACGCAAAGGAATGAAACTGAATCCTTACTTCACACCATATACAAAAATTAACTCAAAATGGACTGAAGGCCTAAATGCAAGAGCTAAAACTATAAAATACTTAGAAGAAAATATAGGTGTAAATCTTCATAATTTTGGATTAGGTAATGGTATCATAGGTGTAACACCAAAAGCACAAGCACCAAAAGAAAAAATACAAAAATTGGACTTCATCAAAATTGAAAACTTTAGTGCTTCAATGCACATGATCAAGAAAGTAAAAAAACAACACATGGAAAAGGAGAAAATATCTGCAATTCATGTATCTGACAAGGAGTCTAGTATCCAGACTATAAAAAGAACTTTCACAACTCAACAATAGAAAGACAATCCAATTTTAAAATGGGCAAAGGAGTTGAACTGACATTTTTTCAAAGAAGATATACAGATGTCCAATAAGCACATGAGAAGCTGCTCAACGTGTTAGTCATCAGGGAAATGCAAATACAAGTTGAAACCACAATGAGATACCACTTCACATCCACTAGAACGGCTATAATTTTTTTTAAGTGTTGATGAGTGTTGATATAGAAAAATGAGAACCTTCACTCATTGCTGGTAGGAATGTAAAATGGTGCAGCTGCTGTGGAAAACAGTTTGGCAGTTCCTCAAACGTTACACGTAGAGCTACGAGATGACCCAGCAGTTCTAATCCTAGGTATGTACACAAGAGAATTGAAAACATATTCACACAGGAACATGTACATGAATATTCATAGCATTACTCATAATAGTTAAAAAATGGACTCAATCCAAATGTCCATTGACTGATCAGTGAATAAAGCAAATGTGGTTTAACCATATACAAGGGAGTATTATTCAGCCATAGAAAGGAGTGTAGTACTGATACATGCTACCCCATAGATGAGCATTGAAAACATTAGGCTAAGTGAAGAAATCCAGTCACAAAAGTCCACATACTGTTTGATTCTATTTATGTGAAGTGTCCATAATAGGCAAATCCCTAGAGACAGAAAGTAGATTAGTGACTGTCAGGGAAATGGGGAGTGACTGCTAATGAGTATGGGGTTTCTTTTTCGTGTGATGAAGATGTCCTGGAATTAGACAGTGGTAGTGGTTCCACTGAATTATACCTTTTAAAAGGATGAATTTTATTGTATGTGAATTATACCTCAATTTTCTAAAAGCAGGCAGACATTTGAACTGGATTTTAAAGGGTGAGCTAATTGGGCAGACAAGGGTGGAAAGAGAATTCTAGGCAGAAATAACATAATGAGAAAAGGTGTGGAAGCCACAAAAAAAGTAATGCATTCAGAGAAAGAAAAGTGGCTCGGAGGCTGGAGTATAGTTATACACACAGGAGTGGCAGAGCCAACAAGGTAGTGAAGGGACAAATCATGAAAGCCCAGTATGCTAACCAAGGAGATCACGGGGTGCCTTCAATGAGAAGGAGGTCTCCTCGCAGGAGGATGACATAACTCAGTTTCTTGGCTCAATCCATCTTGCCAAAGAAGCCTCCTTCCCTCAACTCAGAATCATCTGATGACATCACTCCACTTTGGCGAGCCCAATGCTCATTTTCTCACCATTTATAAAACACATTTATTTACAGCATCAATTCTAAGTTTTTGCCCCAGCAGAATATAAACTCCTTAGGGCAGCCCTGTTTCCAGCCTTGACTATGTAGGGGTGCAAGCACATCCAGAGTTCTCCGTGGAATCCCAAAGATGTGTAAGGAGACTGGCAATTCTGACAAAGTGCTGAGCTTTCCTAACTTTATAAACCTTTGTTGATACTGTCACTCAGTTCAGAGCGCCCTCCTAATCGCAAATTTGTTCAAAACTTTGCCATCCTTGGTGGTCTATTTCTGATGCTACTTGCTTAAGAAGCCTTTCTTTGCTTCCCCACCTGGATGTGAACTCTCCTCTTTGTTCGTTTGTTTGTTTTGCTTTGTTTTGGCCACGCTGCACGTGCGTGCGAGCGCAACATGTGGGATCTTAGTTGCCCAACCAGGGATCGAACCCTGCAGTGGAAGCTCGGAGTCCTAACCGCCGGACTGCCAGAGAAGCCCTGAACTCTCCCCCTTTGAGAAGGGTGTATTCTGTACTCTGGTACTGATTTCCTCATACCTTAACCCCCCTCATCTCACACATCTCTTACCCCACACTTTCTGGAATCTAAGCACCTTGGTCCACATCTTTCCCAGTCTTGGGACTCCCAGCACCGTGCTGGGTAGAGTCTGAAATGAACTGTTCAACTAGCAGCAAAAATGATGGAATCACAGACAGGAATAAGCATCATCACAAAACAAAAGTTTTAAAAAATCCTAGAAGAAACTACACAGAACAGAAGGCAGGCACAAATAACAGAGGGTATTTGTTTAATCTGTTTGTGACCACTTGGCTTGTTTACATCTGGTCATTTTCATCACATGGATTTCATTTTGCTAGAACTCCAGAAGACTCAGACAAAGAGTAACGGCCTCCCAGCTGCTGCATTCCCACATCTGTGGTTTTCCTATGATGTAAACAAAAGATTCTGGAGGTATGGTCTCTGTTAGTGTTTGCTGGTGTGGGTCTGGTGGAGAGATGGGTGGTGGGGGAAGTTTGAGGGAAATCCACCTAATGAACTGACAGTTCATATAAGCAACACCTGGAGTGTTAAACCCCCTACAACTGTTATTTTACTGAAAAAAAAAATCCACTCTTCCTTTGGTAAATGTAAAAATTCTTTCGCCAGCTGCATTCCAATCGAAAGTGTGTGGCAGTGCAGGAGAGATGGCAGCCGGAACAGATCATGTTCAGGATGTAGGGAGCGTTCCCCAGCAGCGAGGGGATAATCAGAACCCACAAAACCAATCTTCAGAGTCATGTTCCTTTCAGAAAATGAGAGAGCCTCCATTTGCCTGCTTGGAGTATTCTGCTTGTAAACACTCGGATGCTGGAAATACACATCCATATCTGATTGGTGAAAGGAAGGGCCTTTTGAATGGAAACTCTGTGACATCAGCTACTCAGGACTCCCCACTGAGCATCATAAAACCCCGAAGCTTAAGTTTTGGTCTTAGCCCTATTTTTATTAAATATTTACAATCTACTACAAAACCAAATTCACAGCAAATGTGTGTTTACACAACCTTGTGACATGGCCACTCCTGACAAGAGGGGAAGAGGACTAACGTTTATGGGCACCAGGCCAGTCACTCTCCTCGGAAGGCAGATCCTGGCATTTCACATACCGATGAGGTAACTTGGGCGCAGAGAGGTTGTCACTTGCTTAACATGCCCAAAGGTAAAATGAGAAGAGTTAAGCCTGTCTGATTCTGAAGCCAGTGTTCTTTCCACCGTACTCCGCTACTGGTCAGTATGCCCCAGAGAAGTTCTTTCTCTAGAATTTGTAAGAATGTTCCAAGAGTCTACGATTCTAGAATAGGCATTGGCAAACGTTTTCTGTAAAGGGCCAGACTGTTTATATCTTAGGCTTTGCGAGTCATCTAGTCTCAGTTGCAACTACTTAATTCTGCCGTTGTAGCACAAAAGCAGCCATAGATAATATATAAATGAATGAGCGTGGCTGTGTTCCAATAAAACTTTATCTGACAGCGGACCAGATTTGGCTCACTGGCTGTAGTCTGCCGACCCCTGCTCTAGAAGGTCCAAAGAGTGGGCAACTTCGTGTTATTTGGCTTGGGAATCAATGAAGAATTGCCTATTTCCAACTTAATTAATCAACAAGTATGGGTCTTCTCTATTCTATGTGGCCCATGAACTTAAGGGATTGATATTCTTTTGGGAAGAAAAGACACAGGCACGTAAAAGCCAAAGAGCAACATGAAGCTGCCTGTGATAAGCGCCAAAGGAGGCGCCTGGGGACTGAGGGCTGACTGACGGGCCACCTTCGATATTAGAAAACCAGGGTCCGCCACGGCATCAAATGATCCTGCGCCGGCACGAGAGCGCAGAGAGAGTCGGAAAAACTTCTCAGTGGGCAGGAATGAAAATGAGTCTGAAGTGACTGCCGTAAGCACAACAGCTATTCTGGTGAGGCCACACGAAGGGTTTTCGGCACGTGTCAGATGCTGATCAAAGGCAACCTCACGGACTTCCCTGGTGGGGCAGTGGTTAAGAATCCGCCTGCCAATGCAGGGGACACAGGTTCGAGCCCTGGTCCAGGAAGATCCCACATGCTGCGGAACAACTAGAGCCCGTGAGCCACAACTACTGAGCCCCTGAGCCACAACTACTGAGCCCTCGTGCCACAACTACTGAAGCCCGTGCGCCGCGACAAGAGAAGCCACTGCAATGAGAAGCCTGTGCACTGCAACGAAGAGCAGCCCCCGTTCGCCGCAACTAGAGAAAGCCCGCGCACAGCAACGAAGACCCAACGCAGCCAAAAATAAATAAATAAATAAAAACGATTTTAAAAAAAAAAGCAACCTCTCCTTCAAACTTAGGAAACACACCTGCTCCCCGTCTCATTCTCAAAGGACAGGCAATTGACTTCAGGTGCAAGATCAATTGAGTGCTTTAGCAAACTCCTGGAGGGCTCCGTTCTCCCAACTGGTGCTTTAAGCACTGAAGAGCCTGCAGGAGCTACAGGCAGGGCAGGGAGAAACCACCTGGGGTCACTCTTGGACTTTCAGGAAGAAGCACTTCCTAAAAACTTACCTTGCTCATGGCTGTCAGGGCGGGGTCACAGGCAGCATCGAGATCCTGAACCAACAGCTGAATGCTGCTGGAGATGACACTGCAAATCAAACACACTACTGTGGGCACAGCTTACAAAAGTGAACTGTGAAAGAACGACTGACCGACACAGCCCCTTCCAAATGTTTTAGGCACCTGTGTAAAACTTAGATGCACCACTTCCTCAGAAAAACTTGAGTTTCATTTCAGAAAGGAATGAATGACAAGGAGGAGTGTTTTGGCTCCGCCCTCCTTCTTGCTGTGTGTCCTGGTCTCACTCGGATGTGTTCCTACTCAGTCAGGACACCAGATTCCACGGCTCATCTCCCCAGTTGCTACACCCAGAATTCCTCTTTGCTATCTCCTGCAAAAGGACCCGTCTGCCCAAAATGTTTAAATCAGATCTTGCGGGGGGGCGGGGAAGTTGAGAGAAAATGACCTAAGAAGAGAATTTGGACTTTTCCTCAGTAAGTGGCTGATGTGAAAGCAGCAGCTTGGCTTTCCCAAATCTCATTTAACGACCAGGACAAAATCCTGCCAGGTAGCACCAGGGCAATAACTGTTTCAAGAAGGCTTTACGGGCTGAACTCCTTGGACGGACACTCTTCCACCCCAAATACACTTGCCCTCCCCCGCCTCCCAGTGGCTAAAATCAGGCTGCTCACCCTTTATACCCTTGAAACACTGGAGGTGGGGCTGGCCCTCTGTAGATTTAGCGGGTCAGATAGGAGGCCCTGGACCTGACCTTCCTGCAGGGATGGCCAAGGGGAGATTTCTTTTCTCTTGTTATTCTAGATAGTGCAACAATAAAGCCCCCATAAGCTAAAAATGATTGTATTTGAGGAGGCAGGATGGGGGGCAGCTGCACCAACTTCTAAGGCTCCTTGGTGGCTGGTGGAGAAAATAATCCTAATCCAACAGAAGGCCCTGGAAACTTCTCAGGTTCTGTAGTAACCTACGCTGACGGCCTGAGACACGCTGCTCTGTGCAGGGGGAAAGGCGGGCCTCGAGCAGTCGCACGAGTACATACGTGCTGAATGTGTCCATTTCTCCAGTCAGATTGATTCGTTCAGTCAGACTTATGTCGACCTTCTCCTTGAGTTTCTCTTCCAGCTGTTAGAGAGTAACAGAGAGAACGACATGCTTAATGCTTATCAGAAGGAGCAACGTAACAATACTTAACATTTACTGAGTGCGAGGATTCCGGTATAATTCCAGGCACTTTTCGTGTATGGACTCATTTAATTCTCACTGCCCTGTAAGGAAGATTCTATTATGATCCTCCTTTGACATATGAGAAGATGGAGGCATGCCCTACCCAGGACAGTGAGTGGTAGGGCTGGGAATCAAACTTCCTCCAGAGCCTGTGCCCTTTGGCCCTGCACTGTACTTGGCTCTCATGACACACTGACAATTTAAACAGATCCCCATTTTTAGGATACTCCCTGCCTCGTGAACTGCTGGCTCGCCCACCAACACTGGAAGCCTCCAGTGGTGGGTCACAATAAAATCAGGTAAAGTATTCCCTGAGCGCTGGGCTGGGCCACCCACCGCGTTAAGGTGTTGAGGGATACCAAAATAAACAAAAGAAACACAGTTTCTGCCTGCATCATCCTATAGCCAAGCGAGGAGAAATGCTGGCCACGTTCCAGCAGTCGCGAAGAAAAATACAACTGACTGGGAATTGTAATTACCTCAAAACATCCCGGGAATTGCTTCACCTATCATCCCCAAACCTATTTATTACAGAAACTCTAAGAATAATGAATGTTTTATCTTAGATTTAAAAGTGACTCCTAGGAATGGCTAAATTATTATTATTATTATTATTATTATTTTTTTTGCGGTACGCAGGCCTCTCAGTGCTGTGGCCTCTCCCGCTGCGGAGCACAAGCTCCGGACGCGCAGGCTCAGCGGCCATGGCTCATGGGCCCAGCAGCTCCGCGGCATGTGGGATCTTCCCAGACCGGGGCACGAACCTGCGTCCGCTGCATTGGCAGGCGGACTCTCAACCACTGCGCCACCAGGGAAGCCCAGGAATGGGTAAATTAATGTAACCTTTTAGGAAGGCAATTTTAAAATATTTAA